GAAGGTAAAATAACCAAAATGCAATCCAGCTTTGGATCAATACGATCCACGTGTCCTTCATGTACTTTCTTTTCTACCAAGGCCAATTCTTTCTCAGCTTCAGGTAATAATTCTCTTGGACTATTTAAGTCCTTGTCACCTTCTAAGGTTTTGAACAAATTATGCAGTTCATCATTTTTTACCCCAATAATAGTTCTTAGATGAGAAATATCTCCAAATAATCTTTGAAAGTCATTAAGAGTCTGTAGTCGATCTCTCCTAATTTGCACCTTTTGGGGTCTAATTTTTTTGTAGCTCTATTTTATATCCTAAATAATTAATAGAATCTCCTCTTTGTATCTTTTCAGGAGCAATTTGTAATCCCCAGCAAGGCAAAATTTTCTTTACTTCTTCAAACATTCTTTCTAAAGTATCTGCATTTGAGTCAGCTAGTAAAATATCATCCATATAATGATAAATTATAGATTTAGGAAATTTTTTACGTATCACTTCCAATGGCTTTATGGATGTTTGTTGTGTATGAGCCACTGTGCATCCTAAGGCTCCTTAGATAAGAGGGTTCTGTTCATTGTGTAGTAGAAGAAAAGCAGAAGAATGCGCTGGACACCAAATGGGAGATACAAAAAGAGTTCTTGTAAGAATTCAGACCTGAGGTGCTCTCACGAACAGGCTTGAGCGTACCACTATCTGTGCAGAGCCTGCTGGTCCTGAGAAGGGCTTCAAGCCTCTCTTGAGCTGAAAATACATATACATGTGTATGTGTCTGTGGTTGACAGTGGGCACGTGGGTCAGATTTAAGGAGTGGAATTGGGGGTAGTGGGCTGGATTGGGAAGAATGTGCATCATGAGGAGTGTTGGTGGCTGCTTCTACTGGGGCCACTTAGGTACAGTCCCTGGCCTAGGGCGCTGTTACTCATTCTTGTGTGCCTGAGACAAGGCGTGCTTGTGTGTTGTGGGTGGGGATGAGACAGTGCTCCCTGCACTATGCCCATGGCATACAGACTCTTAGTGCTGGCTGCTCTGGTGGTGAGTCTTGGCTACCCCCTTTGCCCTGCTGCTACCAGCTACATGGGTTGAGGGGAACTATTCACTGCTTAGGGAACTTTGTTTCCTGGAGAGATGAAAGCAAAGAGTAGAAGCACTAGACTGGAAAGGGGGAAGTTAGGGGCTAGTTTAGTGTCATCTCTTGGAGGAAAGTATGTAAATGAGATACATAGCTGTACCCCTTCCCTCTGAGTGCATAGGCAGGAGGGGAATCCAACTTTTAGAGAAGTATGGTCTTAGCCTGAACATGTGTGCCCCTTTTTTTGTTTTTCAAGTAAAACAAAGCACAGAGCACTGTAGCCTTGAGCTCCCAGAGCTCCTTCTAAAGGCCATATACATCATCTCAGCTAGTAAAATAGATGCCAAACCATGCTGGGACCTGTATGCCAGGTCTGGTGCTGAGGGAGGACGTGTCTAAATCCCTTTCTTTTCATTCCAGTCAACATGTGCACCTCACTCAGTTTCCCATCTTTGGAAAATCATCCTTTTCCCACCCCTATTTCAAATGCCATCAGCCCCCAGGTGCTCTGCACACATCTTCCTGTAATCTTCTAGAGTTATCTCCCAGGGTGCCATTCTGCTCACATCATCTGGCTAGCCAGGCTGGGCAAGTTCAACTGCGGGGCTTCTAGTTTCAGGTTTCCTCAGCCAGTGGGGACAGCTGCGTGCCTGTGTGGAAGTCCTGACCTCTGCCTGTTCCACAGTGGCTGGCTGAAGTTGGAGGCTGTGTGTGTGGCTGCAGCTTTCCAGGAACTTCACTAGGGTCCCCTACCCAAGTGTCCATGCATGGCACACAGTTATAGCTTACCATCCTCTGCTTCCACTTCAGAGAATTGGCATCTTGTGTTGCCACCTACATTCTCCTGGTCCCTGCTCCACAGTGTGCCGCCTCCCCAGCTGCTGCCTGTGGAGACTGCACACGCTTGCTCTGCATTACTGGGTGGAAATTACGGGCCTGCATGGAGAAATCCCTCAGAAAGTCAAGAGCTCACCTTTTTCAATCAGTAAACTTAAACTTTCTGGTCTGCAGTGCATGTACCAGGGAACGTTAAAGGAAGCCGTGTTTCCAATGCCACTACCAGCCCTTCCTCCCCAGCCAGGCTCTGAACTTTTTTCTAAGTAGAGTCTGTCACTCAAGTTCTGCCTCAGGTTGGGTCTCATTTGGAGTATCTGTGCTTGCTCTGTTCTTCTCCTGGAACTCGGAGCTGGGGTGTGTGCAGTTGTGGAGGAGGAGTATAGGTGTGGTAGCAGCAACACAAAGCTGCGTGTAGCTTTGGGGCCTGGCAGCCTCTGACGGTAGTCTGCCACCAGCCCTCCCCCGTCCCACCTGTTCTGGATGTGTCCTACCATCAGGGTCCCCCTCAGTGCCACAGCCTAGAGCCTCTCTTCTTGGTATCCTTTTCTGGCATTTAAGACTCATTTCCTGACTTCTTGCCTCACGTGAGCACCAGTCCTCAGTTTCACCTGCAGTGTGAGGTCACTTTGAGCAGGCAAGCACACCAAGCAGGCCCTGCTGGGTGTTGAAGATGAGGCATAAGGCCAAGTCTTGAGCATTCTAGAAGCCTTGTGCTCTTAAACCTTCAGAGTTCTGGCGCTCATGGCACATCACTGAGCCACACCTTTGTCGATAGAGATCCAACCTGTGGAGCTTTGTCTAGTGTTTAGGCCTTTGGCTAGTTCCCTAGGACATTTTCTGGAGTTTCAGTTGCTTTTTTTGTTTTGTTTTGTTTTCCTAAAAATTGTGTCTGATGTTGGCTCTGAGGAAGGCCAGTGGCTGGCTTCCTTTGTCCTCTGTGGCTGCCGTAGCCCTGCCTTTCTCAGCTCTTCTGAGATACTTACAGCTCATGCTCCTGGGTACAGGCTCAAGTGGAGACTTGAACCATTTGGGGTTCATTCGTATCATGGCACCCCTGGGTGATGGTGTGCCTGGCCCTCAGCCTTTTCTGCATTGGCCTTTTTTCTTGGCACTTCAGCAAGATACACATTATTCTTCCTCATCCTCTCCTGTACTCTGGATTCACTGGCTTGAAAGGCTTGTCCTTTGTGCTTTTTACTTTGCCTCCTTTTCTTTTTCCTTGTTTTGTTTCTGAAGCACCATATCACCTTGCCACTCCTGTGGACATCACAGTGACCCAAGACTAGACATTGCTTTATGTACTATAGTGGCATTTCCTTGTAGGTACAGTACCCATGTGCCACCCAATAGCCTCTTTTAGCTGGTGGTTTATTTGTGTCAGGTTCCAAAGGAAGACCTGCTGTTGTATGGTAGTCCGGCTGTCTTTGATCCAGAGCCCCACCCCCTGCGCCCTTGGCTTCTTGCCGCAAACAGGGTAACTGCCTCTACAGCCTGGCTCAGGTTTCTCTGCCTGCTCCCTGGCAACTTTCCACAGAGAGAGGTTCGGTTTGGCCTGGGACAGTGACCACTGCCTTATTGTGAAGATGTCACAGTCCTAACACTTTGACCCAGAGCAGGCTCTCTGTTGACGTTTTAGTCACCATATACCCTGTCTGTATTTGGAGTAATTGTTAAGTGTCATTTTAGGGGCTGTAGGAATGGCTCAGTGGTTAAGCACTCTTGCTGCTCTTCCTGAGGACCAGAGTTCAGTTCCCGGCACCCACATCAGATAGCTCTGAACCACCTGTAACTCTTCCCTTCAGAGGATCTGGCACCTTTTTCTAACCTCCATGGGCACCAACACACACACACACACACGACATGTACATACAGCCATAAAAACAAAATAGTCCTTTTTAAAAATCTGCTGTTTTATGGAGGCTTTCTGAGGGTGTGGGGGAGGTGGCTCGGTAGGTAAAAGCAGATGCTGTGTAAGCACAAGGACTCAGGTTGGAGTCTGCAGAACCTTGGTAAAGCTGAGCACGGGCACAAGCATGTTAGTGTGTGTCTGTAATCCCAGCACTCATACAGTGAAATGGGGGCACAGAAGACTCCCTGACAGCACACAATGACAAAACAAGTGGAAAGGAAGGACCAGCTCGTGAGGAGTTTCTGACTTCCGTGTGTATGTGCTATCTCACGTGTGTACACACACACGCAGCCTATCGATGCCATTTTATTCATTAATTGATGTATCACTGTATAAAATGTGTGAGATGAAAAGATTGCTGACATGGCCTCAGATAATCTCCAGTGAGTGATTGGGGGATTTTGCTTCTTCAGCCCCCACCTCATTTTCTATTTTTGTCCCCTGGGACTATCCACATCCTAAAATAAGGCAATGGCAGATGTTTTCCTATCTGTTCTCTAGAATGAGGCAGCCCCGGTGGGGTGTGAGTAGGGTCCTAAAAGACCATGGACATACTTAGCAAGCTGACTGCCAGAGCCTGGTAGTAAGCAGCATGCCGAGTTATCTTTCACAGTGCTTACATCCCAGTACAGAAGGGATCAAAGCCCAGGGAAACAAAATAATTACAAGTTATATGTGCTTTGACAAACCCAGCTGAGATTAATGTTGACTCCTGCTAAGGGCCTCATTTGCTCAGGGGAATGGGATCTGACACAGCCACATGAGAGAGAGGATCCAGCCCTGGGAGCAGATGGAAAGGCCTTAAGGCAGGCTGCAGTTGGATTGTGTGGGAACTGAAGAGGAAAGCGAAGTACAGAAAGCAGAGAGGACCAGGCAGGCCATGCAGGGCCCCAGTGCCAGGGTGAAGATCGGAAGCTATTAGCATGCCAGGAAGGCATTGAGGAGGGCTAGCCAGGGAATGTTTGATGCTGACATGCGTCTTCTTTCTCACATGTGGGGTCAATCTTTCAAAGCAGAGGTGGTGCTTCTTATTCTTCAGGACAGCTAATCCTCAAACTTGCTTATGAGTCTTGAGAGGAGTTCTCTTCTGTCAGATTCTCTCCTTGATGTTCAGATAGCTGATGAGCTGCTGTAATTGATCGTGTACTTGGCCTAGAACAGGAGCATGATATCTTCAAATTCTCTTCTCAGACCTGCAAGTCCAAGAGACATCCCTCTGGAAGATGAGAGAGCTGCCTCTTCAGGATCAAAAAAAAGGTAAAGGGGTGTGTGTGTGTGTGTGTGTGTGTGTGTGTGTGTGTGTGTGTGTCCTGTTCCCCCATGCCCCCTCTGTCGCATTTAATTAACATTAATCCTGAGATCAATGGATGTTTCTGGGCAGAAAGGACGTTGTATGTTGTTTATTGTTTGTATTACAGAAAACCAGCGTGCTACTGTATAGAGTTCCCAGGAGCAAGACTGGCTGTCCCTGGAGCCAAGGAACCTTCGTGCTATCTCGACCTGCCATCTGATGGGCAGGAGGCAGAGCGACATTCTGACTCTTCTGAGGGTGCTACCAGGACTTGCCACCAGCTGGCACCTTCTGCCCTGGACAGACAGATCGCACTACACAGGCTTTGTTTTATGAGTGAGAAGTAGAAGAATACTGCACATCGGAAAGACTCCAGGGGCTCAGAACAAAGCTTCCTCATTCCTGCCCCTGGAATGTTGACCACAGGGAATCTAAAGGAAAGAAAGCTCTGTGCTGGTGAGCTATGGGATTCTTATGAAAGTCAGTGCGACTTTGTAATCAGTAAGAACTCTGAGTGAGGAGCACTATGCAGGAAGAAGCCTTCCACAGAAAGCCAGGCAGGGAGAAGCTGAGGCTGACGGTCAGCTTGCCCAATAGAGCAAGCCTGAGATAGACTGCCAAGATGGCAAAGTAAGAGGCTTTATGAAGTAGCAGTCCTGGAACTCATAGTTGTAAGGACACTTTCTTCTCTAAGTCACAATACCAAATAGGAAAAATGATCTACAAGTGCCCCATGTGCAGGGAATTTTTCTCTGAGAGAGCAGATCTTTTTATGCATCAGAAAATCCACACAGCAGAGAAACCCCATAAATGTGACAAGTGTGATAAGGGTTTCTTTCACATATCAGAACTTCATATTCATTGGCGAGACCACACAGGAGAGAAGGTCTATAAATGTGATGATTGTGGTAAGGATTTTAGCACGACAACAAAACTGAATAGACATAAGAAAATCCACACTGTGGAAAAGCCCTATAAATGCTATGAGTGTGGCAAAGCCTTCAACTGGAGCTCCCATCTTCAAATCCACATGAGAGTCCACACTGGCGAGAAGCCGTATGTCTGCAGTGAGTGTGGGAGAGGCTTCAGTAATAGTTCTAACCTTTGTATGCACCAGCGAGTCCACACTGGGGAGAAGCCCTTCAAATGTGAAGAGTGTGGGAAAGCCTTCAGGCACACCTCCAGCCTCTGCATGCATCAAAGAGTCCACACTGGAGAGAAGCCCTATAAATGTTATGAGTGTGGGAAGGCCTTTAGTCAGAGCTCCAGCCTCTGCATCCACCAGAGAGTGCACACAGGGGAGAAGCCCTATAGGTGTTGTGGGTGTGGGAAGGCCTTCAGTCAGAGTTCTAGCCTCTGTATCCACCAGAGAGTGCACACAGGGGAGAAACCTTTTAAGTGTGATGAGTGTGGCAAGGCCTTCAGCCAGAGTACAAGTCTTTGCATCCACCAGAGAGTACACACCAAGGAGAGAAACCATCTCAAAATATCAGTTATATAAAGATGTTTTGCTAAGAATTAAAAATCTTAAACCCGTAAGTGCCACTAGGAAGGAAACCCCAAATCCACCTACATTGACCCTGGGAACATCTACAGCAGTCCCCAGAAGAATATTCTTTCTGAGGAGGTTTAGGTGAGGTTGTGTTTTTCTGAACTTGGAATTTTTTGTATGTGCCCAAGATGGAGTATTGTGTCCCTGTCACAGGTATAGTGTTTCCTGGGACTCTGGCAACATGCCTCGCAGCTGAAAGAATCCTCAAAACTCATGAGTCTTGCTTAGCCTCTGAGTCACTTTCTATCTGTGCTGTGCTTCCAGGCAACGCCAGACACCCCCTTTTATACCACACGCTCCTTCCTTTATTCAAGCCTACCTACCGGTCAGTGCATTTAAAGATGGAGAGCTCCCTTGAAGGCCAAGTCCTGGTATTTCTGAGGTTGCCACTTGACTCAACCCTGACATAGCTTTCCATATATCTATCCCATTATTTCTAAATCCACCTTACCTCGTGTCCTCAGAGTACCTGTAAACACCTACCCCTTCCTAGATGGCATTAAATTTCATTTTAGATTTTAGGAAAGTCATAATATGCACTCACACAGCCGATCAGGAAATCACTGGCAGATGTACATGCTCTGGAACTTTTCTTTAGTTTGTGGACTCTGCTAATCACTGTGTCTCTAAGTTAGACTTTTTTCCTAGTGGCTGCGTCACATGCTTTAACTTGAAATTTTTTTTAAGTAGCTGAATGTATATATCAGGGAGGAAGAAGCAAGCAAACTGAGCTTGTCTGCTTCAAGAGTGACCCTCTTGGGCTCCTTTTATAAATGGCGGGGTTCCCTACCAGTCTTGGGAGGGCTGACTGGGGAGTCACTGAGGATGGATCTGTCATCTCAGGCAATAATGTGTAGATGTCATCATGGATCACATACAGTTCTTTTTAGGCATGAGTGTGTGTTGCTGACCCATCCTCCTCATTCATTCACTGAGTATTTATTGAACGCCTCCTGGGTGTCGGACATGTACTGGGTGCTGGGAATGCCACTGGATCATGAAATTCACCTCTGGAGGAAACGGGATAACAAGTTAACACATAAATAATGTAGTTTGCAGTAGTGATTAAGTGCTATGAGAATAAACTAGGGTGGTATGTAGAGGGGGGTGGGGGGCCAGGTAGCAAGGGTCAGAAACTGCGCTGAGGTGCTGGGGCCAGGTGAGGGAGCAGGGCAAGTACACAGCACAGGTGCTGCTGGCCCTGGGGATGAGATGCAGGTGCTGGAGGTAGTTTGTGGGGAGGGAGGCAGGCGCTGAGCCATGAGCTTAGAGCCTAGCATTTATGGGCCTGTTGTGTTTGTTTTGTTTCTACTGACTGATGCTAAAACTCTCGGAGGAACTCGAGGGATGTTGAGAAGACCAAAAGTCCCCGGTGACACCGACACAAAGCTCCCATGTCCGTTTCCTTCTCCTTCCCGTTCTCAGTCTCCCACATGCAGTCATTTGCTCAGGAAGTCTTTGGGGAAACTAATGACCTGTAAGTCTGAAGTGGGTGACTGGCTTGGTGGCTTCTGCCAGCCATTTAAGGCTGGAGAAAGAACTTCCCAGATGGTCAGAAATACAAGACTGCTTGGTTTTTCTCGGCAGGTTTGTTTTTTTGTTTTGTTTTGCTTTTTAGGTGTTTGGCTGGAAGAGGCTGTTGTAAGACTGAAGCCTTGGTGTGTAGAGGAGGCTTGATAGGAGCACACAGTCAGTGGGTTGTGTTTGGGCATGAATCTGTTACCATGCATTTCAGTGCAGACACCTTCAGGCAAGCCTCTGGCCCACTGGTCACTGCCTTCCCCCCCTCTCCAGAGAGGGCTATTGGCTCACAAAGCCCCTTCCAGGCCTCACAGCCACCACAGCAATTTACTGTAGTGTCTTAACTCAATGTCACCACAGCGTGGAGCATTAGAGGAAAGCCTAGACTTTGAGTTGATAGAGAGCCAGTTGAAATATCATCAATAGAATCTTAGTTTTAGGAAGAATTGGTTTGATTTCTAGCTTTATTACTACTAGGTATGTAAGCTTGGGCAAATCGCTTAATCTTAAGGTCTAGTTTTCTCACAGAATGAGGACACTGGACTAAATGATTTCCCAATTTCCAGCTAGTCCTAGAGTTCTATATTTCTACATAGTTGAATTATTTTATCATGCTGTTGCTGGGGAATACAACTAACACTTTTGAAGCTACTAATTTTATGTCAAGCTTTAAAGTCCATAATTGTTATTTTCAGAAAATATTATTTGACCTACAGTATGTCTAAATCAATTTAATAAAATCACTTTATAACAGGGCCCCATGTTTCCTGTGTGTTGTATGAGTTCAGTAGTCCTGGGGCTTGGTATTGGCTGTCCTTGTGCCCTAGAATAGATTTTCATATGAAATTTAACCTTAAAATGTTGGTAGCACTCATATTCTGTGCATGTCATGTCTGTCATCTGCCTAGACCCTAGGCATGTCTTCTGTGAGCCCGTTCTTGTCTCTTCTGACTGGTGGACACTTGGTTAAGAAGGAAGAACACACGCATGATCCATTGTGAAGCAGCCACCAGCTCTGAGGAACAAGTCTACATTCAGGTCCCTGAGATGGAAGTGACGGCTGCCAACTCCAAAGGGAACAGGGTTGGGGAGTGATGATGGGGGGCTCTTCTGGGGCTTGGGTATAAGATCCTCAAGGAAGGACTGGAGTCTGTGAGCATCTAGTCTGCTCAGAGGGTGTACCTCAAGAGTGTGTGGGTGTGGGGGTACTCTTTGACTTGGGCCTTCACATGTGCCATCTTTATAAAGGCCGTGCTTCTCTAGTATCTCGAACCACACACTCAGCTGTCTTTCTGTGCTGTTGTCGTTATTTTCAGAAATTTGAAATGGTGACTAGGAGACAAGGATCAGAAGCAGATGGAAAAGTGCTCAGCGAAGTCAGCCTGGGGAGAGGTGAACAACTGACAGTCCCACAGGGCAAGAGCTAAGCAGGAACAGGTGAGGCAGAGGGCCAGGCCAGGCGCAGGTGGTGCAGCACGTGCCGACCGCTCGTACTCCCTTCATTGCCTACCTGTAGAACAGCTGAAAGCAACCAGCAAGGACAGGGCTGTTTAGTTGTGCAGTGATCGCCTGATGCGAACAGGGCCCTGGCCTTGATTCTTAGCACTACAGAAAATTCTCCAAATACCCAACTCACCTCATGATTAGTCTGTGTGGACATGCTAGTGACGACGTGACCGAAGTTTCCGTCTGGGCACAGGTGGGTGAAACTTGCTTTCAGAATAAGGCAACTCACTTATGCATTCCTTTTTCTTTTTGTTGTTTTTCGTTCTTCTCAGGACAGGGTTTCTTTGCATAACAGCCCTGGTTAGCCTGGAACTTGCTTTGTAGACAAGAGTGGCCTTGATCTGCCTGGGATTAAAGGCATGCGCCACCTGGCTTTTCATTCCATTTTCATCTCTGCTCTGATACTTGTATTTCCTGAATGATGCTTTGGGAAGTGTGCTCCCTCTGAGTCCCATTTGCCCTCGCCAAGTTCTCTTGGCCCTGGTCAAGGTCTGTCCTGAATCAGTGGGTGGTTCTGTTCTGAGAGATTGACAGTCTGGAACCTGTAGGGTGGCTTTTGGGCTCTGCAGAGTTTTGTGTCTGTTTTCTAGGGAAGGGTTCTGATGGATTTGGAACTAACAAACACTGGCTGAAGAAGCTTCTGATTGGGTCACAAGATCAATCCTGGCAGAGACCTTAGAGGGACACCTGATGGTTCCACACAGTCATGGATCCCTAAAACAACAGGAAATAGAACAGATGCTGCAGTTTGGATCGTGAATGTCCCCAAATGTGCTCATGGTAAAAGGCCTGGTCCCCGAAGGGCCAACCAAACCTTGAGACACGTAACTGAGCCAGAGTAACTCCTTTTGATTGCCTTGTGTATTTTGAGAGTAAT